TTCTATTTTTGTCGGACGACTGGTGTTCCCTGATGGCTCTGTAGCTGCTGGTGGTATTTCTGGATGAGTTTCAGGTGGTGGTCGATTCAACAGCCCTTTGAAGTGATAAGCTCAGCCTTTCCTTTACTTCTCGTCTTTTGTAATTAGGTTCCCTTCTCTATCTTCCGTAGGTTTCCTCTGTGTTGTTCTCTTTCCGGATAGTTGACTTGTGTAATGATCCACAGTCCTTCTTATACTTGCAGTCTGTTCTACTTGACTTGCCAGTGTGTCGTATAATTGCCTTCTGTCTTTCCTTGCACTCTTCTCCATTCCTCCATTTAATGCTCCGTAGATTGAACTTACCTGTTCCTTTCGTTTTTCCTCCTCAGACTGGGTCATCTTCTGTCTCACTGTTCATCTCTCCTCTTTTGGCTTCCACTTGTCCGTAGAGGGGTATTCATTTCCTTCCCTCCACTTTCTTCCCAAAACAACTATCCGAATTTACTTCAAAGAGTTTCAGTGTCTCTCCATGCAGGTTTCCTCGTTGATGTTACATTATCTCTAGCTTACTTCCGACGGCTGAAATAAAAGTTTGATTCACAGTTTCGTCTTTCAGCTCCTGAGTGTTGAATTCTCGGATTCTGGTCTATCTCCAGCTTCTCTGAAGTTTTCAACTCGATTTTCAAGTCTCCTTCAAGTAGACAGTGGTCTAAGCTCACACCCACCACTCTTCTCGACTTTGTATCCAAGAGGCTGAATCTCCACTTTCTTGAAATTAAGATAGTCTGTCAATCGCCTCATATCATCTAATATCACCAAATCAATGTGCACCATAGTGGCGAGCTACCTAGAATGGTGGCCACATTGCAAACTTGACTGATAAAATTCTGTCTGCAGAGGAGAAAGGACTAGGCACATCACACTAGTTCCTAGTGTCTAATCTAAGGAAGTGGACAACTGTTATTTTTGATGGAGTTAAACAACCTGGATCCAAACTTGCGAGTGCCTAAACGATATGGAACCAACTAACACAGGTAAGTACAGGTAAGAACAAGAGAGAAATCGAGTTGACTGTTAGTAATGAGTCCCATGGAATATTTCCTCCAGGAAATGTTTTGCCCTCGGCAAAATCAATCTATCCAACGCCCAAATTTTACATCAGTTCGAACCTGTCACTAAGGGTTAGTCGTTTGAACGAATATCGACATTGCTAGGTGAAACTGGAAGTTATTGTTACATTCCGAGGAACGGTATTCTGCTCAATGCCTTTATACTCCCTTAGATAGTTTTCTCCAGAAATAAAATCTTGCATCGTATCAATTCACCTATCATCACCTCATCGTCATTAGAGCGCTTATTCACTCACTGTTCTATATTTTTACTTCGCCTTAAGGACTTCTGACATCCTGAGAGGAAGGACTAATCCTCGACTTTATTTTGAGACTGAGTAACAAAATCGAGCATGTTTACAACCACGTTGTGGCTCCGTACCGATTAGTGAGGTGAACGGTCCGCCACCCTCCATGACTTTCAGTGCTTCTACGCCGAAACAATCCAAACATCTCGGTCTCTTCGATACTTCTCCACGGAAAGGAAGCGGCGTAGCCTGACAAACTTTCATGTATTATCATTATTGTTCCCTTGGGTTCCTAGTGGAACATAGGGCTTCAACTGCACGTCTCCACTTGCTTCTGTCTTCTGTTGTACTTTTCACCTGCATCCATGTTAGTCCATACTCTTTCAGCTCCTCTTCACATGATCTCCTCCATATCACCCTTGCACTGACGTCCCACTCGCCGCTTCCCTTTCGGGTTCCACTCGAGCAATGGCCTGACGCGCGATGTCATCAATCGTCCTCCTCAGGGAGCGGGAGTCCAATCCATCTCCACTTTCTCCTGCATATTTGTTGGGCGATTGGTTTATTCTTGTTTTGTTTGTTCCCATAGTTTCTTGTTGGTGATTCTTTCAGGCCGACCATCTGATCTTCAGTATAGAGCTAGCGAAGACAGTTGTTGATGAAAGTCTGAAACAGGCTGTTGGAAATATTCTTTGTGACCCACCCGCCGAGTTTCTGATCCGTATAGAAGAACTGACTGACTTGACGTTTGTATTGAAAATCCGACCGAATGTTGTTGTTGATGCTGAGTGAGTGACGAAGATTCCCAGATTGGTTTCAGGTTGATGAATGTGTTTCTCGCCTTCCCGATTCTCGCTCGATTTGACATCCTCGTCCGTTCCGACTGCCTGTAGTTGAGACAATGCTCCCTCACTAGATAAGTGAATGAAGTAACCTCCTTTAAATCCCTCCCGTTGATGGTGATTGGTGCTGGATGTTGCTGTTGTTGGTTGGTTATTTTCATAACCTCCGTCTTGTCTATGTTCAACTGGAGTCCTGTCTTCGCCGGCTGCTTCTTCGACCAGTTTGTGGGTTTTCGCTTTTAAGTCTTCGATTTTGTGTGACAACAAACATAAATCATCCACAAGCGAAATCCAGGTCTTCTAGGTTCTTCACTTCGGTCCAGGATATCCCTGTCTTCTCGTTTCCCACTGTCTGACGCATAACCCAGTCCACAACAATTAGAAATATCATTAGTGTTAATAAGCACTCTTGTCTGATGTCATGTATAATGCCATTAAAATAGTTACCATCATGCAACAAACCGCTCTTTAACTGAAATCCTGGTTCCCTTACATAAATGCCATCAGCCTGGAGACAGGGTGTTGGTATTCGTAAACGTCACAAAAATCCACACAGAAATAAATACGGAGATTGTGCCATCAAAAGACGACCACAATCACCACTATTTATCAACTTTCCAATTCTCAACATGTTCACTAAATTATTCTTCCTATCGAATCAACTTTACGTCTTCACTTTTGTGCACTGACAACTCAACAGACGCGATTTCATGGGAGACAGAAAGTCAGCCTCCACTTCACAATATTTTATCGAAAGCCTCATAAATCCTCGAAAAACCAGAAAGTATTACTAGTACTAACAGAAATCATATCTTGTTCAGCATTCCTCCAATTTCTGGAACGCTCGCGCTAATTACCAATCAAAATCATGCAACACTTTCATTGTGGTTTATCTACTAGTTTTAGATATGTACAACTCTCCATTTCGCGGAACAGCGAAGTGGTTAGTGAAGATTCTGAGATCTTTGCACAAAGAAACCGTGAGATATACAATTAGTGGTGTCTTCGACTTTATATCTAAAATATCCGAGACAAATGTGAGGGATAAACGCATGTTATCCATGGATGTAACAGCACTATTCACGAGTGTACGACTTATGCAAATAGTAGATTACATTTATCAAGAAGTCACCGAAAGGCGATTGGACTTAAGAATTTCCTTGTGTAGCCTCAAAGAATTACTCCTTAAATACACAATGAATGTACACTTTGTCTTCAATAATTCACACTACCGACAAGTAGATGTAATACCTATGGGTTCACCATTACGCCCAGTATTAGCTGACTTCTCACACCCAAAACTTGAAAACGGGAAATTGAAAGACATCATCAAAGAGTTTGATATGTATTACCGTTATGTCAATGATACATTTATCTTAGCCGATGGGAATGTAAGCATAGACGATTGGTTGATGAAATTCAACAATGCCCACCCTTCGCTTACTTTCACTTCTGAAGAGGAGCAGGATGATAAACTACATTTTCGGGATGTCTTGCTAAGCAGGCGAGAAGATGGGTCACTTGGGAGAAGAGTGTATAGAAAAATCACATTCATAGGGCAATACACACACTTCCTTAGTTACGTGGCAATTAGATATAAAAGAAATATTCTTCAATGTCTTACAAACAGTGCAAGAAAGCTGTGTACGGATGACCACTTACAAAAGGAATTTCAATGTATTCACGATTCCTTGACGGACACGGGCTATCCGAGTAGAGGAGTACATGGAAAACCTTTTACGCAGCATACCTATGTTTGTCATTCTCTAGCTGACGAATGATCGGGACGCATACGAAGTCTAAGCTAGATAGTTTTCCCACATCTAGGTGCATTTATCAATTCAGCTACACCTCCGGTGACAGTTATGTTGATAGTACTACTAGACAGCTTAGCCAACCTGTCACTATTGAACATCTGCCATCGTGGTTTGGCAAAGGAGACGCAAAAACAATCCGTAGCTCAATTTTGTCCCATTTAGTTGATATTGTTCGTGTAGTAGTGGAGAGAACGACAGCTTTCAAAGTAATTCATCATATCCCACCGAATCTTTCCAATAGACCTCGTATTGGCCTACTTCACACAGCTGAGGCGATAGCCATTCGAACTATTGGACCTAAACTATGCATTCAAAAGAAGTTCGTACAGCCACTATCCCTCCCTTAGCCTGCTGAGACTTAACCAACTGATAACTTCTCTACCACCCCTTACTTATATTTTCAACCCCTCTCTTATCATCCCTTAATCTTGCCACATCTTCATTGAAATGTATTTCATTTACCTCCCCTACAATCTAGCACTCACTACTTAATCCGTTCATTCGTTTCCCTTAGCCTTTATCGACTACTTATACCTGAACATTTGTTTCTTTATACATGATGCTTTTCGTTATTCGTGCTATCACGGATCGCCTCACTTTTTCATCCTTATTATTGATAGAACCATTATCACTATTATGACTAATTGCACAATTTATATTCGCTGTCTTATTATCCTATAGACAAAACACCATGATGAGTTTATATTTGAATTTTTATTTGTAAAGTTATGTATATTAGAGTTAGGCCTGATGAGATCTAATTGGAAACAATATTATTCACGTAAATGTGTTGTTCTAAATTTTACTATGAGAATATTGATTATTTGCTAGTTGCCTGTTCAATATCATATGCGAAATAAATAAAGAGGAGAACTATACATACATTTGTTCGAGGTTCACTGTGAAACGCATTTAGAGGGAAATCACTATCTACTGTTATTAGCCTAACACTCACAACGCAGGCGAAAATTACGAATTTCGAGGTTCACGTTCCTTAGGATACAAGTCAGTCAGTCTACCACCTAATAGCAGTCTCCAAGTGGAATCATTTCACACATCTTCCTTTCATCACTCCAACATCGAAGTATGCGAATCACCCACCTACAAAATCACTCCCACTGAGTTCCTCGCTGTTTCAACAATCAACTGTCACAACTCATAACACTAGAAAGACGCATCAGAAGGCAATATTCCATGGCAATCGCTTTATTAAACACAACTATGCATATATCTCCCATCAGACACGGATACATGTGAAGAGGAGAAGAAGAGGAAGAAGACGAAGAAGAAGAGGAAGTGTCATGAAACATTCGCTGATAAACGGCCATTCTAATGTCAACACTGTCTATCTGATATGATGACTGCTCGACGGTTTCGAAAGATGAACAGGAGGACAGCGAAGGAAGCAAATGGTACATAGAATGTCATGTATCTGCCGATGAGGTGGGCTTGATAATTTGTCACTTTTACAAAAGTTATTCTGTTGAAGACTTCCCACGAAGTCTTGATACTTTCGCTTCAGCGCTGAAATAATAAAAGATTACAATGCTATTTAGTATATTAAAACATGAAAATCATATAAAGCGGATAATACAAAGTGTAGAGATCATCAAACTATGTCTTTATCTTGCTTCGATATGTTAGGTTTCAGTGGTCCAATATTATACTGAATTTTACTAATGTATGCAGGTACGCTTGTGCTAATCATCTATCATCCTTACATTTTGTGCAAACAGATAGTGAATTACATACAAAGCACTTTCTCCCGCTACGCTGTCAACTCACCGAAAATATCCTCCTAAGATTATAATGTTAAATAAGTAAGTACAAACTGCTAACAATAATAATATTAATAATAACAGTAATGTTTGTTGTAGGACTAGTCCTCTTTTATTTCATTTAAATATTATCATGTAAAATGACTAAGCAAAAAATCTCAAATCAATCGATTTTTCAGTATCAGACTGATAAACAACATTCTTCAAATAAAAGAGGTATTTTCCGTTAGATTATACAAGGTGGTTAAGATTGATGAAGTTATCAGTCTTGTTAAGCTTGACAAAGCAGGTAGTAGTATATAACACAGGGTAGACTGATGAAACAAAAATAAAGAACACATTCGGTGAGATGTTTACACTTACAATTTGAGCATACTGAAGACTTTCTCCTTAGTTATTCGGAATGCCGCATCGAACTGTGGCTAAAGAAAAGAAATTAATAAGTTAATTTCAAATTACTATATATATATATATATAACTCACTGGGTATTATCATCAACCTGCTAAATGAAAAATCCATCCCGCATATTTGAGCTTAAACAAACAAACCAACAAATCAATACACCGCCCTGAAATTATAAGATACATGCATTACACAACAAGCTCAACACTCAAGGAATAATCTTTCAGACTCTCGACCACTACTTACAATCGCACTCGGAATTCATCCTTACTCTTATATCGCAAAAGTAGGAATATTAAATAAAACCAATTCATCGGGAACAAAACTATCAGTAACTCATCGAAGAAGACATTTGGAATCGGTCGCGCTATGTCATGAGTTGGTAGGTTAGGATTTTAGGGTCATTGGGTAGGGTCCTAGTGGCTTAATGGTCTACGAGATAGCTAGTCTTGTAACCAGGAGGTCTTGTGTTTGGACCCCGGCGGGTTCGTGCTGCTGAGGGGTCCCAAACTACGATGAAACAACTGTCCAGTACTCCCAGGTTTTCCATTGGTTCTCTAACTGATTTCACGCTCAAGATGAAATCCCCCAACCAATCAAATGAAATCCCTACAAAGATCAGTACTTGAAAATAAAAAAATAATTGAATTAAATCAAATCACGTAAGTATTGTATTGTATTGCCTAAAGGGAAGCAAACTTTTCTTACCTTGCATAATAAATATATCTTAGGACATGTCATGCCGAGAACAAATGCTGAAAAACAAAATGATCATTACAGAAACATTACCACGAAGTTACTGTATAGAATACTGAGGCAACTACCACATAGTGTACAGCATAATATCATTACGATGATCACCATAACTAATTGTAAAACAAACATACTAAAATAAAGCCCGGTATCAAGCGATAAAATGATACTTATGCAGTCAGTCAGCAGTTCTCTGTGAAACTGACTAACTAACCAACTAACTGGTGGCCAGAAGTAAAGCAGGTCAAAAATGTTAAGAAACCGCAACGAATGAGGTTTCCTTAGTGATGAATAGTACTGAATGTTGTATTTTAAAGTAAACTTAGCAAAACATTTCGTAATGTCAACGATAAAGTTGTCGGCTTCTTCTTTGAGAGACATTGAAGTGTCTCGATTCCTCCACTCTTCGTTTCTCTCATAACTTAGCTTCTGAATAACGTTTAAGTTAGTTACTGTACTGCACACGGTGAAGTTTGTTCTCAAGAAAGTGAAAGGGCGGATTTCCTGAACTTATGATCAACGGACCGATTGATATGGTGACTACGTGGAGAAAAACCTTACTCAAAACCTATGGTGAACATGATTCCCTGGATTCGAAGGCAATGAATAGCGTTTTGGTTAATGGAAACCATGTTAGATGCCTGGACATTGATCCAGTAAGGCAGATCATGTAACAACAATCAACGGAAACCTTTACCCATATTAACACTCACTAATTACTTCATCAATCGCATATTTAAACTAATGATCATCCATCATAGCATTCATATATATATATATATATATATATATATATATATATATATATATATATATATATATATATGAAGCGGTGGTTGAATTCACACACGAGATAACACTAGACTTACCTATGGTTACCAGGGTAAGCAAATTAAACCAAGCACCTACTACCGAAAGTAGGTATAAACACACAACGAACTGGAAAGTAGTAAGATAAACAGATAAAAGAAGGAAAATTTGCAAGTTAACATAATTGAAATGAATAATACAATGTAGATAAGATATTTCTTGACAATAGGGAAGATGACAAATAACTTTTTATCCTTAGTTAAAACAGTTACTCAAAACTCAAATACCCGGTATCTAGATGTGAGTGACGCTTATTCTGTGAGGGTTAGTGATATTACTCAATTGTTGAAGCTGATGTAGGTGTGAAACTTTTTTTAACAAAAATATTCTGCATTTAATAGCCGGCTGACACCAATGCATCAAACAAATTGCTTCATAAGAAGCTCTAGGCAATTGCATCTTATCAGATGGTAAAAAGACAATCCTGTCAACCCTTTTAAAACTGGAGATTTTGTGACTGAGTTAACAGATGAATCTATAATTAGGTCATATTTTGGTCATCTTCCTTAAGTTACTAAAGGAAAAGTGGCAATAATTGGTAATTACTGAAGTACTGTTGTTACATTTACCTTTGCAGTTTCAAAGTAATCTTGCAACCACAATACGCAACGTAAATAATTCAACTTTTCAGACAATTTTTCACATAAGGCTGCAACACGCTCGGCAATTTTTTCCTCAGGTAAAGTGATGTCCAATCCAAGCCAATATCTAAAAGAGCAGATAATATAGAAAGAAAAACTGCCACAGACAAATAGAACTACAATGTGAGGGAATGTACTAAATTACTGGGATTTTCTTAATGGTAGGGAATATTACATCGCCTACTGTATCATACATTTCGCAGAACAAAATGACAGGTACGCAAATATACATTCATATCCTCTTACTTCTAATATAACAGCAATTATCGTAAGTAGATTTATAGTAAGTGAAATCGAACGCTACACACTGATTGTATATATCTACTAATTCAAATCAAGGAATTTTCTTTTGATACATTTAGCACTCCGTTCCTTGCAATAGACTTATGTATCAAACTGTAAGCCACATACTTTCTGAGAACCAGTAAAACAACCGAGCTTTAATTAATACAACGGGATTCCTATCCGGAACTGAAAGTTGAGTGCACAAGCCAACGGTACTATACAATCATTTGTCTACCGAAGATATCTCAACTTCAAGTGCTAAAAGGTATAACACTTCTCTGGTAAACTTTTTTCGCTAAAAATTAGAGCCTTTATTTTTAAACTCAATGAATGAAAACAGTGTATCCGATCAACTATGAAAGGACTTATTTGATTTCACCTTATATGCTTGAGCTAGAAAGTGTGAGATGTGAGTTACTAGCAATGAAACAACTTCATTTAGTACGATAGTAGTGTTGAATAGGCTGGGATGTATTGTCGCTTACACACTTGCATAGGTAATAATGTTCCGACAGAAATAATTGGACAAACAGAGATACAAGAGATAAAATTTCATCAGAATCAAACTTACTTAAATGGGTCTTTCGGCGAATCCTGATTTGATTCGAATTGACGCGTAATAAAACCATAAAGCTTGCAAGCCGTGGTGCAGCACATTAGCGAAATTCCAGTGTAGGCAATAAAAGACACCAGGGACATGCATGAAAGACTTAAGAGGAATGTTAACCCAACGGCTGCAACAACACCCGACTTGATGGGCTCATCCCAATAAACAATTTCTGTAACTAAATTAAATAAGAATTACCGAAATCATTGCAAGTGGAAACGAAATTTTACTCACAGTATATATATATATATTTATATTGTAACATCAGGACTGACAACTAATTTCTACAAAACTGAATGAATACATCTACTCAAGTTGTATCAGAAGAAAATGGAACAAATGTAGTAGTGAGTAGAAATGGAGAGATTTAGAACGAAATATGAAGCAGATGTTAATATCTCATGGCCTTTCTCTTTAGATCACGTTGTTCAATAAGCTTAGTATTATGCAGTTAATAGTGTTCTCTGAGCTGGTTGTTCTAGTTGCGGAGCTTTCGTCGTCTTTCTGGACATCTTCAGCGCAGTATTTAGCATAAAGTCAAATGATTTAAAATCCCCATGAATGATGATACAATTGCGTCTCCTGGTGACCAATCATCTTTACATATGTATTGACCGTTTTCTATTGATTGGGATTTAAAACTTTCTGGTCACCTGATTTACTTTTTATTAGTTGATATATTTCATCTATATTAACGTGTTTATTAATGGCATTTTCGTTTGAGTTCCAAGCTTCTAGGAATTCCTGGCACATTTGGTGTTTCTTCTGTCTAGGATTTTGACATTATCCCAATCAAACTGATGTCCATAATCGTCTGTATGCATTGATACTAAAGAATTTATATCATGTCTTTTCACGGCTGATTTGTGTTCCTGGATTCTTATTCGAAGGAGACGCCCACTTTGGCCGATGTAATGTTTGTTACAGTTCATACAATTTATTTTGTAAATGGTGTTAGTTTTATCTCCTTTTTCTATCGGATCTTTTGGTTTGCATAAGATCGAATTAAGCGATTCAGCTGGTTTGTGTGCTACATCTATATCAAACGGTTTCATTATTCTAGCTGTTATTTCATCCACCTGAGTTACGAATCTTTTCTATTACTTCAAAAGCTTAGTATTATGCTGATATTACATCACATACTGAACGGTCTTTATATCCTGTGGTGTTATGCAGTAACTTTCTCATCGGAGACCAGTTATTAAACTAATTCACCCGAAATTAACTAAAACCCAGCAGTCATTTAGGTACGATGAAAACACTTGTTCCCACCACACAATCTTACGATAAAGTCACGAATCCACAGGGCAATATTTTCTTACTCGAAGAAAATCATGGGAGTTTCCCTTTTGACGCCCCCATGATAAATAATCGGGCAGACGAATAATATGATGGTGTAAATACCAGTATTTGGACAGAGAATGAAGTGTTCTGAAAAATCACACTGGATATGTTCAGGAACAACCTACCTAAATTTAAAAATGCTGGGATTTACCATAGCTACAGAAACGTGACAGGATAAAATGAGAGATTTCAGAAGACGCGTGACTCCCATGACGACTATGAGAAGATATCTTTCGTTGACCAGTTACAGTAATGAGAACACTGTAGCCCTTGGTACTGTGTCAAACAAACAAGGTTACATTGTGATCTCATTCAATTTCACAAACTTATGAGAACCGGAAACAGGCAAAAAGGAAACACGAATATGACTATCTTTAAATGAAAGTGACAACGTATTGGTAACCCACCGAAATCCATTTAGGTTCTGCGGCTTATATCACACAAACAACTGTAATGGAATTCACAAAGCCCACCCGAATCTAGAAAAATAAATAATAGATGCTTTTAGTGAATTTGTAACTCAAATAAGGGGCAACTCTAAAGAATAGCAGCCAAAACCGAAACTACCTAGCGAACGGAACCCCGACAAGGACAACTTTGACCAATCAGCAAGCTCAAAAAATCGGCGCATAGTTGTAAGTCATTTATATATAAGGAATGCACTGCTAAAAAATAGTTACAAAGGACAACGTTCTCGTGTATGTTGCAACAAAACCTCCCAATTTCTCATAGGAGTCTTGATTCTCATGTTGAACGAAGTCCTGTATATAAACTCATCAAGATAACTGCATATTATCGCATTTCTTGATCCATTCACGGATCTGATACCTTTTTTTAGAAGACTTGAGAAACTGTCAATGAAATTAGTGTGAGTTCCATCAAAAGGATTGAGAAAACCATTCGTATGGTTGACGACTTGATGAATATAGTCTAGATTCGTTAACTGACTGTGACTACTTCATTCATCTGTATAAATAGTCGTCCCAGGAAGCACTAAGCGCTAGATAATAGGCAATAATACACCTGCACTGCGATTAGGGATCGCCCCAATCTATCTTTACTGGACGCTGGTGTCATATATCCCCAATACGTATTGCTGATTCACACTCAATCTCCCTCGACTGTATTTTCTTATCAAGAGTACCTAAGGAATCTGTAAATTACAAACGAACGATATGGGTTCTCAAACAGTCTGTTTTCCAAACAGTAATCAAAACAAGATCCGGAGCGAATTTGCAACGCAAAAGGTGTAGAGCATCCATAGTTACCTCTGGAAATAACAGTCACTCGATTCCTAGCTCAGGGTCACTTGAGAGTTCAAAGGTCGCTTCGGTTTGCGCTGATATTCTTTTGAGTTCAAAAAACAAAGGATGAATACACGCTAAACTACTCACCTATCCTACGATCAACACAAATAATCGAAATGCAGTTAGGACCACGCCGCCAAACACCAAACGCTCGGATGAAGATGGCCTTCGTTAATCTAAATCTCGTGAGCCCGCGGAAGAGATAAACAAACAAACATTCGCTTGTGATTAATCAATTCGCTATCTGATTCACGGTAATTTCAAACACTATGAGGCTGTATGGGGTTTTGCCGATGTATTTTCGTGCATCATATGGGTTATCGAATTCATGCATATAGAGGCTACCGCTACCGCGCGAACTTTGAAAAGGGAGTTAATTTTTACGCTCTTGTTTATAATTGGCTTTTGTTCTGTTATACGCTCCAAAAGTCCACAGATTTAACTTTTAATCAGTTTATTCTGATCGAAGTTAGTTTACGTTTCAGATTTGAGTCTATTAATTGTAGGAAGTTGTGTTCTTATAACATAATAGCTACATATATCTATCCTTGTGCACTCATTAGCTTTTATTACTGATTTATAAAGGTTATATGTATATTTGAAGTTGTATTTAATTTTTCCTGTTTTTTTTAAATAAAATGCCTATCAGAAGAAACTTTTTTATTTTATTTTTGATTACAGCTTGATTCCACACTGTATTTTTGGTACAAGTATGGAATTTTCAGTGTGGATATCGGTAGCCAAATTTTGCAGGCCGACCATAGATATCAGGTGTGCGCCGGCGAGGGCTCGAACCCCGGACCATGTGCATGGTCGGCGAGAGTCCTAACCACTGTGCCACCGACGCACCGCTGCGGAAGGGCTATGTGCCAGTTTCCAGTGGATGAGGGAATGCAGTGTGATAACATCAAAAGATGGTTTCACAGTATGTGCACGAACCTTACTCCAGCAGCATACAAACGCTGCTGCAAACCTCTAGCAAACTGGTTGTGCAATGACTGCTGTAGTACAACTAAACTCCGTATTACAGAAGCAATTGCTACTCTTAGTTGGGCTTTAAAGCTCATGAACTGCAAGCGTCCTCCACCACAGAAGAATACCGACTAATGCTCAGATAGCGATGACGTGACTAGCGTCATAGACAAAACAGCACATTTCCCCGATGCGACCTGCCAATAAGTGAGTGCTCTACAGCACAGAAGAACACCCACCACATTCCAGACACCCAGGTCACCCCCACGATACTGGATAAGCCCTCCAGTGACAGTAATGGAAAGAGTGCCGCGAAGAAGAAGCGTACCAGGGGTCGAAAACCTGCAGCTCCAGTCGCCCAGGGACTGGCGGAACAAGCCTCATCCACACCGGTGAGCAGCAGACAGACAAACCCCACTAAGATTAGCGAGGAGGACGCTAATGAATGGTACACTGTAGTCTCTCGCAAAACGCGAGATAAGGATAACACTTCGGCTACACCGCCCAAGAAGGATAGAAACACACTTACGCCACAGGGCAAGAAAGTCACGGAAAGCAAACCCGATCTCTCTGACAGGTCTCTCATTCTCCACAAAGTGGGGAGTCACTGGTCCTCGATCCTAAGGCCAGATTCGAGCATGACCTTAACTTGGTCAAGCCCCTTTTAGACAAGCTACTGCCACAAACAGTATCAGGCATTACTATACACAGCGTATACAGAATAGGCCAAAAGCCTGACCCTACAGTAAGTGAGCCTGTACGTCTCCTCAGAGTCGTACTAAACTCTAAAGCAGAGAGGGATGCTATTCTAAGCAACTCTCATATTCTCAAAGGATCAGATATATATGTCCGGCAGTCTGTAGACGGCCGTAATTTTGAGTGACCGCGAATGAGATAAACAAGCGATTCGCTTGCTCGTGATTGGCCAGTTTGTCATTCTAGTTGAGGTAATTTCAAACATCATTTTGCTGCTTGGTTAAGTTCTGAATTTCCGGGATCGTTTTATCGAATTTCAGAGATAACTGACAACACAAACTATTACAGCTCAGGAGAGAAATGATATACCAGTGGATTTATTTGCTGAATTCAACGAATTCGTGCCAAATTAAGATCTAAGGACTTCTTAGGGGTGTGAAGAATGCAAACAATGTTCTGAAGAGGTAATAACTTCACGCAACTTCAATTATCGCTTGACCGTTATTTTCAGAGATCCTTTAATAAGTATGATATACACAGTGGTCTGGCTAATCATGATAAAAATGGTATGGTTGATGCAGCATATACATATACTCATGTATATGTAGGTAAACCTAGATAAACTGTGTTCTTGTCACGAAGATCGGAAAGCAGGTATCAGATGTCTCAGTAAACAGTGTAATACATGTAAGCTACATGTTTTTATTTGACATAAACTGGATCTTCACTCACTTTCAGAATTAATCTTAAATTCAGTTGGAATAAGCTTGTTGAGCACGTCAGTATTGAGAGAATACAGTGAAAGTAAGTAAACACATGCTTCTTAAGATTAAGTGATACATTTATTTGATATGATTGTATTATTATTAGTTGTCTATCTAAGTTAATGATGAATTCGTTGCGATAATAATACCTATTAATGTTCTTATAGTCACTATGAACATGAATGTTATTATTATTGCTGTCAAGTCCTATTATTTGTCATAAAGTTGTTGTCATTTTTGCTAAAATATTTGTACAAGCTTTGAAGACTACTGCATAACTTGTCGTTAAATAATTTTATAATTTCATGATGCTTCGATGGACCTACTAGATATCGACAAACGATAAGTTTCGAAGTCCCTTAAGTTTAGTGAAAACTATTGGGCTACTTATATATATATATATTGTTTGTAAAGTGATTACTTGTAAATGCTTATCAGGAAAATTTTTTATTCAGATCATGCATGTAATACCCAAGTTAATTATGCTTTTCTTAAACCTTTTCAGACTTATGGAAAAACATATATGTGCCGTGTACGCAGATGGAACTTACTGACGGTAACCGAGGACTACTCATCTGAATTATCTGTACATTTGAAATCCGATTTTTGTTTAATAAACAATTTTTCAATGAATCTGTGTTCCTTCTGTTGTAATGCGATTGTGTTCCAGTAACATAAGTAACACGTGCTAAGTTAGAAGTTGAGGGTAAACTGTTAGGAGTAAATGCGGCGTCTGGAAGACTTTTGTTTACGTGATTATATGAGCAGATAGCAACATATCGTGTTCTTTGGCTAAGAACCCTAGGCATTCTGTTTTTAATTATTACGATAACCGTAGTTACACTGAGTCATACATCTAACAGCATAGGTATAGTCTCTCCTTATGGTACACTGCGGCATGCAGAAATCACAAGCAAACTATCTCAGGTAGATTTACTCTCACTTTGTGACTATGAATCGCGAATCAGTATATGTATTCTGCTAAGACGATAGATAACTCGAAACACTTTATAATCGCAAGACCTCCTCTACGGTTTAGGCATATTTACTTTATTTGACTACAACATAATCTTCTACCAATAGGCTTTTCCAAATATCTGCTCCTACTTAGTATTTCAAAGATAGCCTCATATACTCTACACTTCACAAACTACGCAAGGGCTAATATTCGGTCTTATCAAGTAGAATAAACAAACGATTAACGAGGAATACATTTATTAATGAATTAACATGTAATACAAAATCGACAACAGTGCAGGTATCTTTTTCTTTATCACCCAAATCCATGAAATTCCCGAAAGTAGATATCATCTGAAAAAGAACATAAAAATTATACAGATGTAGACATTGTTATCAGTGTAAACACAATAATTAACCATGAAATATGTTTGAAATGACGAAATAATTAGTTGAATTGTATATAATTACGTCAGTAAACATTTTTCAATAATACAAAATCGATATTGCATCTGCCTGCAAACGTCAAGTTTATGCCATCAAATAAGGAAATACTATGCGTATATAATTTCTAGGTATTTCTGCAGATTTTTCCTCAAAGAAATACATATGGAGTAGCCTTGTCAGCATTAGGAAAAGTACACAACAAAGTAAATGAAATAATCACCAAAACGAGCTATCCCACCTCATCATGTCCATGTGTAATCCATTAAAATGCAAAAAAATTCACAAAATGGTCGTTATAACATATTTCTTCCAGTAATTCGACATATTCGGAACGGAAAAGTACGTTTTTTCAACAAACTGCAAACTGCCTGTAAGCTACGGCCGGATAAGGACACCACCATTGCCTATTTCTGCTAAATACGCCGTATTTCATCAACTTTTAGCTGGAATATATGTAAAAAAGTGTGTATAACAACGAAAAATGACCCAACCTTGACGTCTTTTCCAAAAATAACGCCAATATCCATCAGCTGATCAAATAACCTACGGCCGTCTACAGGCTGCCTATATGTCCGCGCTGACTTAAGCCTAGCAGACCGTGTCAAAAGACAGGCTGCGGCACTAGAATTAAGTGAGCGACGCCGGAACGGTGAGAAGAACCTTAAGATTAAGGGTTTTCGGGTTGTCCGAGTTCGCAGTTTAATGATCCCGAAACCTCTGTGGGTGGGCCGGGGAAGCACCAATCTGAATTAACAGTCTGCTACACAAACGCCCGCAGCCTGTTAAATAAAAGGACTGAGCTGGCAAACATGATAGAAACCGGAAACCCGGATGTAATTATTATCACAGAGACATGGCTCACACCCGATGTCACTGACAACGAAGTTAACCTGCCAAACTTCGAAGTGCACAGGGTAGACCGACTAAACCGCAAAGGAGGGGGCGTAGTCATCTACCTCAAGAAAGGCTTAACCGTGCGTAGTATCGAAGCACTCGCCCACGAAAGTGAGTCGTGCGAACTTCTACGCTGCAGACTTAAATGCATAGGCCAAGACATTGACCTCATTGCTGTGTACCGCAGTCCTGACTGCAGTGCAGACGACTTCCTAATAGAGAAGCTAGGCTCCTGGACTTCAAAATGTCGAAGTCTCGTAGTCGGTGACTTCAACGCCCCAACAGTTGACTGGTCGAGCCTAACAACTCCATCTTCAGTCAACTCCTTTGATCATAAACTGCTAGAATCTAGTATATCGCTAGCCCTAGTCCAACATATCATTAAGCCCACGCGCTATGACTCACAGCACTCCTCGTCAACTCTGGACCTAGTGTTCTCACACGGTGAGGATGTGGATCTCATACAACATCTTCCTCCGTTAGGAAGAAGTGACCATGCTGTGCTCACTTTCAAGTTCACAGCAACGGCAGCAAGGGCCAAAACCCCAGCTCGACCAAACGTTTGGAAAGCTGACATAAATGCGATCGTCTCAGCAGCCA